GAAAGGGACATGTGTTCTGAAATCTGAAGTGTCCACATTTGTCGAAACGAAGCACAGCGACGAGACTGGAAGATCTAGCGCAGCCCTTAGGTCTGATACGAAAGCACTGCGGATATCCGATTCGTTAGTCACTCGTTGAGGATTTGGATCTTCCTTTAGGGTTCGCATTTGACAGCGAATTCGAAACGAAAAAAGATCCCTGGTAGCCTTGGGTGAAAACATACAGTAGAATCATCGGCTTTCTGTTGTAACCGAAGACCAGGAATCTACGATTGCAAGAGTGGTCCCATGAGAACGGATGTGGTTTTGCAGGGCGAGGTCAATAGTGAGAGGGAGTCAGGAGAACGGACCGGAATACATGAAAGAGACGGTTTTTTTGAAAGGCGGAATGTAGTAAAGCAGATAAAAGACGGTCTAGTGACGAGACAGAGCCGATACAATTGACATATCCTTACAAGGCGGCGAACTGTTGTCATATCTGAATCCAGAAATGGTGAGGGAGTGTTTGAATATAGGTTAAGAACCACTCAAACGACTGTCGAGGCACTGAGGCATGGTTTCTAGAAAAGCTAGAAAGGTAAGGATGACCATTGTTCTGTATCTGGTGGCCAAATTGGTCCGCCGGAAATTTCAACATCTCCATCGTGGCCCTATCGTATTCTGTGAGATAGCAGAAATTAAAGCGACAAGAAAGGGCGCTTGATGTATTACGATAATTGGGAGGTCCTTTGTTTGAGGAATTGCACCAGGGAACATTAACATGCTGGAGGAACGCGTTGAGCTTTGCGTTGGGGATTGAGGCGTGAGAAAACTGAGCATGCTTCTTATACATCCCCCGCTTCCACCTTGTTTTCCACTCAAAGCCTATAATGTAAGTTCTGTATACTCTGAGCTTTACATGGAATCAAGGTACTACTTGATTTATTCAGAATAAGACACGATATTTTGGGGCAAAAACGACGCATTCACTTATCCGATAATTGGACCTATGCTTCTTTTGAAAATTCAGAATGCCAGCCACAAAAGGTACAGTATCAAGATCGTGCTTCCCAAAGGACTTGAGGACACCCTTGTTTAATTTTCAGATTAGATCAGAACAAAAAAAAACACGACTTCCGCTTGCTCCTTCCAGCTTCAAACTTTATTTCTCTGCTCAGTTGGAGCTTGTCATAGCAAGAGATTCTTTCAGGAATCCGGATTCAAGCTCTCCAGCATTATCGCTCATCAGAACTCTCTCATATTCCAGATGGAGCCCTCGGAAGGCATTGCAGGGCAACATTGACATGAACTTTCCTCTTTTTCCGCTTGATGCTACATAAACCCTTAACACGTTGTTTTTGCATCGTGTTATCTTGCACCATCGCACTTCATTTTTTGCTAACATGTCGTTCCAATACGCCTTCCTCGATCCGTTCGCGTATTTCGACACGCCGCGAGGCAATCTACCGGCTGCCTCGCGTCCTCTGGCTGGATCTCATCCGGGGCCTACAGGGAATCCCAAAGAGGGTCTAGACGCCAATCCCTTTTCCTCTATCAAATTCTTCAACACGCCTCTTCAACTAGGCTATGAGGAATCAGCTTTATCAAATGCCGGAACCACGGAGGTGAATTCATTCTCTCATGCGTTGGTGATGTATCAACAAGATGCGCCTGTGTATCCACTCGATCTGGAAGGACAGGGTACTATCTCCGTATCTGCATCCGCTGCCGCGGAACTTTGTATTTGCGTCAGTTCTGCCGACCGTTCACGACCGTCGCTGTATCTCGACGTCACCCCGACTTCCTGCACGTTTTCGTACGGGTACTACACTTCGGCGAACATGATCCCCGCGCGCCCCCCGCCTGAATCAGCGTATGTAGGTGCTGGAACCGGGCCGGGGATGTATCTGGATGTAAACAGGCAGACCACATACTGGCTGTCGATCGACTGTCCCAACGGAATTCTCAAGTATGGGAAGGGATACATGAGCTCTAATCTTACCCTGTTGGAGGCTCGACTAAAGAAATTGGACGAGCATGGCTGTATGGTCTGGTCTGAGGAAACATGGAGCTTTCTTGAAAAAATCAAGGAAGTTAGAGTTCTTCAAACGGGAGGTGACATGGTAAGACTCTTTTACAACACTCTGTATTCTGAACTTCATATTGATATATCTATACCTTTCTGCTTTAGCGTGCACTCTCCGTGACGACACGAACTCTCCCACTAGTGGACGCTCCGTCACCCTACGTTCTCCCAGATTATCGAATCTCAATGAATGACCTCGAATCGAACAACTATACGGTCATTGCGAATCTACCCGTGGAGTGTCAGGTGAGCTCCAGCAGTCACTTTGTCGCTCCCGATGAACAACAACTTACCGCCTGCAATGATTTATTCATTCCTTCGGATTTACTTACCCACAATCTGGCCACTCCCAATCTATCTTTCACCTCGGATGATACTGTTGATTCCACGATGTTCTCACCATTGGACAATTCGTTCAATCGTTCACTCCCTCCACCTCCTCGGGCTCCGCCACTATCATTACCGGCGGTCGATCCTCCTCCGGGTCCATCTACTGGTACTACTTCATCTACTTCCACATCAACATTATCATCTCCCTTCACTTCTGTTCCTCTCGTCCGTCGGCCGAACGCCAACACCAACTCCAAACACAAAACCACCGCAAAATCCAAACTCAAAATAAACACAAACCTGCGTCGAAAACCACCTTCGCCGTCTCGCCGGTCTGCCAATGCCAAACCCAATCATCAACCTACCTCCGCTCCTGTGGCTGCACCTGCACCTGCACCTGCACCCCCGTCTTTCCCGCCTTTAACTCTCAACACCCTACATTGTCCGTTCTACTCTGCTCACTTCCCCCATACCTCCTCCGACGCTGCCGCTTCTGGAATATGTACGGCGGCTGATCCACAGAAACTATATGCCAATGTTGCCGGACCCAACATTGTGCTCAACACGCCCGACTTTCCTGCCTTTGGGCGAGCCATTGAACGAAGTGTGAGCACCGAAGGGTGTTTAGGCCATACTTTGCTCATGCGGAAAGCGGGGGAGTTCAGTAAGAAAGGTAAACTTCACGGTGCTGGTGCCGATGGTAAAGAAGAAAAACCAGACTTGACACAAACATATTTGAGGATTACGTTGGGATCGCATATGGTAGGTCCAGATTGCCACTGTCATGTTGTTTAATCCTTTCTCGTTGAATTGACCTGCAACGAGGCTTTTCTTCCTTCGAACTCCAGCGCTGAGGTGATACATATCGGATTGTTATCTCATTTTTCGCTGGTTGTTTCTCTATTTTCAGAGTTCTAGTGGGAAGATGAGATCTTCAGTACAATTCGAATTCTAGATTGTGGATCTCGTCTTTTATTCTCTTGCCTAGTCACAGTTTCCACTTTTAGTACACAATTCTTCACTCATTCATTCATTCAACAACCTGAACGATTTCAATGATTTCAACTGAAATCCCGATCATAGGTCAACTCCCCTGGAATCCCATACGTTCTAGAAATCTGGCCTGCAGGTCATTACAGTCCTGTACACGAGCACGCGGACTCATTTGCTATCATCAAGGTGAGATTATTTTAAACTCTTCACTTCAAAAGGCTTCGAGAATCGAACTTGTATATCTCGCGATTGACTTTTTTTTTACTAATAACGCGATTCATACTCCGTAGGTTCTCTATGGCACCATTAACGCCTTTTTTTACGATTCCATTGTCAATCCTGGCGGACCACGGCTGATCATGGATAAGGTCGAGTTAAAGACTGGAGATATTACTTGGATCTCGCCCCAGCACTACCAGGTGCATCAACTGAAGAATCTGAGCAAGCGAAAGGAGGACGGCGGTGAGGGAACGGTTTGTTGTACGCTGCAGTGTTACCAGTAAATCCCTTCTATACTTCAGCCCGCGAAACTATATTGATATACAATCTAGATACGCCTATAACGACAAGATACATTACGAGAATTTCCGATACATCCCAAACTCTTCCAACTCATCACCTACCTCGTCTCCAAACGACTCTGGGTACGAATCAGAGCCAGATATGATGGACTTTCAGCCGAACAGTGATATGTCCTTTGGCGTGTTCAAGGCCGCTATACGGAGAGAATGGGAGGAGTATATGACTACTGATATAGGGAGGAAGGAGGAGGCGGAGTACCTGACTGCTGAGAAGGCAAAGAACTTGGCGGCTGCGATGAAAGGTTTGAAGGCAGAAGGAGAAATTGATGGGAATTCGGCTGCGGCGAAGAAAGTAGCGGAGATGGCTGAGATTATGACTAGGAGAGAGAGGATGGTGGAGATGGGTATGGAGGGATCGATGGAAGCTAGGGCAGAGGCAGTGATGATGGAGGTTGGGAAGTGATCTGAAGCCCTGGGTGTATTGAGACCATTCTGAGTCTCGGGTCCACTCTTACATCTTAGATAAATCTGTTGAGGAAAATTAAGATATGTCCAGACCGATGTATTGTAGTGTATAGAATGTCCAAGATTCTAAAATACAACATAAACGATATAGAATATTATCGCCCTTTGCATAATTCCGCGAAGACACGAGCACTTTTCTGCGGGTCTGAACTCAAGCGAGTGATTTCCAGGACTAGTCTGACGGTTCAACGAAATGTTACTCGCCACTCTTTAACATCATCATTCAGGTCCTTTCATCCCCACAAAGATACAGGATGGCTTATGTGTAAGACTTCCACCAAGTTTTCGTTTAGTCTGCCACTTGTTGCAGAGGATTATAAGGCTTGTATATTGTGAGAATACTCTCGATTAAACTCGCTTATCGGCGGTAGAAAAAAAAACATCAATACTTACATATAGTCGAGTTGCATGTTTCTCATTTATTTATCTGTATTTGATTGAAATGAAGGGGGACGTCTGAGAAAAAGACCTCAGGTCTATTCCGAACGATTCGTAATTGAGAGTACCAAACAGGCGCGAAAAGAATCACAAAACCAATGGCAACAAACATAGTTACTAAGTAATTCAACCGACGACGGGGATCGAACCCGCAACTTCAGCCTTCTTGAGCGAATGTAGGAAAGCTACGCGCTACCATTGCGCCACGCCGGCAACATCACTGTCCGCTCATCCTCACGATTATGACAGCAGGAATAAATGTAACATCTGCTTCAGCGACCAAAGGCGACCAAGCTACAATGTTAAACTTGAACAAAGAGTCATGATCCTAAAGCGCCTGGAAAGTCAGGATGAGCAATGACTTCCTGATCAGGAAGGGAACAAAGGATAGCAAGTCACGTGGAGGTTTCTCTTGTAATTCTTCCAATCCGATAAAAGGTCCAACACTGCCCACTTGGCTCTTACTCTTATTCTCCCTCCCTCTTACTATCAGTTTGCACTCCTTTGACATTCAACAACAAAATTTGGTAATCTTCACAACTGGTAAAAGGTGTAAGAAATTTTTTCGAGAAGATAGAGTCTGCTTCCGGTACGGTGCCACTCACTCGTTAATTGTATGAGTTTAATTTGTTCTAATCCCCCGTATAGAATGAACCACAACAACACATTCCCCAACCCTTCTTCTCCACTTGGTGGTCTTCTACTAGAGCTAGTCCGAGACCATGAACGAGCACGACCAAACGACGCGTTACAGTTCTGCTCTAATTGGTTCCAATCGAGGTTGGAGGAACAGAGGACTCGAGCCAGAGATGCGCTAGGCGCGTTGGGTGGCAACACGTCATATGGAGAAGTAGGACGCGGAAGTACTGGCTCGTTTTCCAATCGACAATCCTTTGGCACTCACGGCACCCTCAGTCGTCGTACATCAATCTTTGTCGACGTTCCTCAGAGTGTCTCGACAGCAGGTGTAGCAGGAGCAGATGACGAAGCAATCGATCCGCTTGAAAGAAAGAGGGCAAGTACCGGCTCGAATTTCAGCGGAGGAAGAAACAGCCAGAGGAACTCTAGCGCAGGTGGGATTTTCAGCAATCCTTTTGCAAAGTCATCGGCCACTCCGCCCCCAAACTTCCCTCCTACAATTGCTGAGCCAACTCCAGCATCTTCTTCTAACATAGGATTCACCAATCCATTTTCGCCTTCCTCAACACCTCTTAGTCCTCTCGCACCTCTCCCTGCCAACGGAACAAATCCCTCTCCAGGAGATTTTCTCCATCCCCCCAACAGCGCAATATTTGCAAGGCGGACAAGCGTCAGTGCGGAGAGTATTCCTATTGAGGAGCTTGAGGGCGGCGGTGGATATCCAGGTAGGTTACCCTGAATACTTTGCTGACTACATCATGACCTCTTTTCCAGGGAACTCACGCTACCTTCCTCCCTATCACCCCAAATCTCCCACTCAACTTGCCCGCATAAAAGCCTCCATCGCAAATAATTTCATCTTCCGTGACCTAGACGAGGAACAGGAAACCGGTGTTCTCAATGCAATGCAGGAGGTCGCCGTTGGAGAAGGCGAAGAAGTGATTAGACAGGGAGATGTAGGAGAATATTTCTATGTCGTGGAGAGTGGCATATTGGATTGTTACATCAAATCTGAAGGGAGTCAAGCTGCTCCAGTGCCTACGCCATCATCTCCAACTTCTCCCACCACTTCGTCCTCTGCAGACACTTACCCTCCACCTCTCACCTCTCACCCACGCTACGGTGTCCTCGTCGCTTCCTGTCCACCAGGAACGTCGTTTGGTGAGCTCGCACTCATGTACGGGCATCCCCGTGCCGCAACCGTTCTCTCCCGTGTTTCCTCTCTTCTCTGGGCTCTGGATCGAATCACATTTCGCACTATCATCCTCAAAGCTGCTCATCGCCGCCGAACCATGTATGAAGGCTTTTTAAAGGAAGTAGTTCTATTGAAGGGACTCAGTCAGGGCGAAAGAAGTAAGATCGCCGATGCCTTGGTCAGTCGTGTGTATGAGGATGGTGAGAATGTTGTTCAGCAAGGAGAAATGGGTGATACGTTCTTTTTTGTCGAAGAAGGAGAGGCTATCGTTACGAAGAGGGTGCCAAGGGGAGAGAGAAGGGGATCTGCATATGTAATTCCACCGGGGTTGAATGGACAAAGAGTCGATGGAGACGCAGACGACGACACAGAGGAAATTATTGTCGGGCGACTCATCAAAGGGGACTACTTTGGCGAGCTTTCCCTGTTAAGGCTCGCCCCGAGGGCTGCGACCGTCTCAGCCATAGCTCGTCCTCCAGCTCCTCTGACTTTATCGGCTCCGTTGCCAACGGTGGGTGAAGAACAAGATACCACACCGACCTCAATAAGTTCAACACCAACATTCAATATTACACCCTCTTCGCCTGCTGTAGGCATTCCTCGTTCTACGTTCCCTCCTACACAACCGACAAAATCGAATCTGAATACGTCTTACACTCCCATCGTTGTCGGAGGAAGGCTCGGGCCTAAGCTCAAAGTCGCTGCACTTGATGCTCCAGCATTCACCAGGTTGCTTGGGCCGCTGAGGGAAATTATGGAGAGGCGGGCGGGGGAGAGTTACTTGATGTAGATAGCAGGCACAATTGCAAAATTGCAGGTAATCGGGACTCCTTGTCAGAACATATCCCACTGGTGATGTTACTTGCATCGTGTAAATAAGATTTGTTGTATGACTTTCTCTAATCTTTTAGTTCCCCTCGTTCTATCCACCCAAACTTTCTTGTATCGAAAGGTTACTTGTCAACAAATACCTAGCACGTCCTTGTGTAGTTGTAGGCTGTAATTTATTCTGAGTGCTGTTTCTTTATAAGTTTTTTTTTCCCAAAAAGTTATGCCATGAGCAGAGATACGCTAAGTGGTATGGAGTTTATCGGCATGGAAGTCCGTCGAATCAGGATTATTCCTCTTGTCCATCACTCCTGGCAGATCTGAAACCCCTTTTAAACATTGCTCGCAAGGGAAGGACTAAGGGTTGCAAACAGTTTGTGAAATACACCAGGCAAGTATATGAAAGGATAAAGAAGTCTAGTTTGAGCAAAAGGCTCCTCTCTTGTTTGGTTGAGGGCGCCTCGCCTCAAAGAAAGGTCCGGACGTTCCATCTTGTTGACATTGAAGAGCCGGAAAGAGGACAGCCGCTCGTCTATCATGATCAGTTGATCCCAACGTTGAGTTTTTGATGGCGGAAATCCAGGACCCCATCAAGCATACTTACTAGAATATAGTACAGAGATGCGGCAAATAATTCGATGAAACAACAAAAATCTCAATCCTCTCAAATTGCCTGAGGCCACAATTGCAGTGGTTCCCCGCTGGGTCGTTAAAATCAAAGCAGGAAGCCTACATGTTATGACTTTGATCATTATCTTGAATACAAATGCTGATACCACACTCGTAGTGGTTCCCCGCTGGTCGTTAAATTCGAACCGAGAAGCCTACATGTTATGATTTTGATCATTATCTCGGCTACAAATGCTGATATGTCCTCATATGTATACCTTGGGGGTAAGCATTGTAAAATTTCCGAACCTCTGGAGGTACGTAGGCCCGTTGATTATTGATAATGAAACTGGCGCATGCCTTAAATCGTTGGTATCTTGAACATGAGTCAACGTTACCCTGAAAAGTCAAGGCTATGATTGACTTACTAAAATAGGAACTAGAGGACAATGGACAGCGCAAGGAGTTACGCTTTGCCACCCTCTCATGTGACCGTTGCATGATAGCCTCTTAAGCGCGTCTCCTCATTGTCCGAGCAGTCACCCACTCTTAAACTCATTCTCATACCACAACGCATCCCACTGAACCATGGAACCATCCCCAGAAAATGGCCCCTCAGCTCACCTCCCTGACATTCCAAAAACTCCTGCTCAGAAGCAGCGGACGTATGGTCCGCCTGTCGTCACAAGCACACCCCAGAGCAACACATATGGTGCTCATGCGAAGGACGAGGTTCCTCAGCGTGCTTCAGTCCTCAACCGGTTTCTCGAGGATGATGTCAATGACAGAGTCGTTCTTACCCTCAATGACTTTGCGACCGTTATCCTTGGCCTTCCATCCGATTGGGAAGTCAAAGAGAATTTTGATCTGTCACCGGAAAGCAAAGCAGTGAAGGACGCCTTTGAGGCATACCTAAAGGTCGCAGAAGGGGTGCCAACGGGCCAAGGAAAACGCGAGAGGGTGCTTTACCAACCACTTGCAAATTTGTTGAACACGTTGAGGAACGGAACGGGGCTGGTAGACAATGGTATAGATGAAAAGCTGTTTTACGTGCAGGATCCTCGTCCAGTACTGGGCTCGTTACTTTCTCGGAAGCCAGATCTTGGTGGAATCTACGCCCAACTACTGCAGCTCGCAGAGAACAGAAATTTATCAACATATCTTGCGAAGAAGAAGATCGTCGGCGTATTTTGGGGATTATTGCTGTTCTTCGTGGAGATCAAGCACCGGAATGGAAATTTCATAGGCTTAAGTGCCAGTAATGGAGGTATGTTATGAAAGTCAATCTTATATCATCGAATTAACACACATACCGATCACAGCCGGGACTGGCACACCCAAGAACGGCTCTTCGAAGCCGGTTGACTCACAACAGGAATCGAGAGAGGCTTCACAGATCGCATCCAAAATTTCTCATTCGAATCCTTCACGGAACAAATCAAACAAGCGCAAAGGGATGGAGGATGTGATTGAACTTACCGGTGCGTCCGGGTCATTCACGGGGTGATTTGTTTCTGATTTGTCTGCAGATGAAGTTACCCGACCTGCTAAAAAGGTCAAGTCGCAGTCGACGAACGAGCCACCGAGGAGATCTGCGAGATTAGCAAATGTTCGAGGTGAATTGAGATATCCATTTGATCATTCAAGATATGCGATTGACGTTGAGCCCTTGCGTAGAAGCGCGCACAAGTTCAAGTTCTTCGTTTGGCGTACAGTCACTGTCCCGTGAGCAATCGGGAGCGTTATCGTCTACCGAAACATTACCACAATCCGACATGCACCCTCCTGCTTCTGCTACTACTTCCACGAGCAGTGGCAAAGAGGATTTGGCCGGAGTTACTATTCACCAGAGCGGAGGCAAAGACATGACGGTGGAGGTTGAGACGTCGCAGTTGTACGAGCTGAAAGCAGAGGAGGAATTGAAGGAAGAAGAAAATTTGAC